CACAAACACACCAACACTGCTGAGCTCAGACACAAACACACCAACACTGCTGAACTGGGCACAAACACACCAACACTGCTGAACTGGGCACAAACACACCAACACTGCTGCACTGGGCACAAACACACCAACACTGCTGAACTCAGACACAAACACACCAACACTGCTGAACTCAGACACAAACACACCAACACTGCTGAACTCGGGCACAAACACACCAACACTGCTGAACTCAGACACAAACACACCAACACTGCTGAACTGGGCACAAACACACCAACACTGCTGAACTGGGCACAAACACACCAACACTGCTGAACTGGGACACAAACACACCAACACTGCTGAACTGGGACACAAAAAGCAGCAAGTCCTTCCTTTTCCAGCAATCCCTTCACACCACATTTCCTTTAACCCTACAGATTCTCCACACCTCAAAAGGACCTGAACTCCTTTGGAATCCATTGCCTGTGTTAACCCACCTGAAAAACCCCCACATTTCTGCAGCACAGCCAGCCCCAGCCCATCTTTTCCCTCTGCTCTTCCCTCAATCCCAAGGGATTTATCCCAGCTCTGGCTCACACCCAGCTGCAGCCTGGGGGTTCCCAGAAGCACTCCAGGTGTTAGGAGTGCCACCAGTGTGTTAGGAGTGACACCGGTGTGCCCTCCCAGTTTGGCTGAAGTGGGAAATGGGGTGGCAATGGGATGCAGAGCCAATTCTGGAACACCCAAGATGCCTTCAGAGCCAGCAGAGGTGACACAGCCCCAGGATCACAAACCCCAGACCAAACACCTCCTTTACCTGCAGCCTCCCTGCTCACTTCTCAAGGTTATTGAGAATTTATTCCTCACTGAAGAAAAACAACAGGATTCCCCTGAAGTGTTTTTGATGAGGGTTTGGGGTTTTTTTCTTTCTTCACGGCCTTACTAATGTTTATTTCCCAGCTTCTTTTGCATCTCCCTAAAGGAAATCCCTGAGTTCACCCATCTTCAGCTCTAATTAAAACATTTAAGGACACACCAGCTGAATATCAACTCTGAAATTATCCAGCACGTCCATCCCCCCTCACTTCCGAGGTGGGACTGACTTCACAAAGCACTGTGAGAAATGTTTTCTCCCTCCACTCCCTCAGAACAGACTTGGATGCCCAAATGCCTGTGATTTTCACACCTATTATCCTGCCCTCCATTCAGACAAGTCAACTGCTGGCAGACACTGCAATAATTCTGCCCAAATTTTTGGCAGAAACCCACAAGCATCAAGAAGAAGCCCAGAACCATTAAGAAAATTCTATTATTTCTTTTATTCAGAGGCAAAAATTGGCATTGCTTCTCCTGAGAGCAGGGTGAGCAAAGCTGTGTGAGAAAATCCACCTTTATTTCTGTCTTCTTAAAAGTTCAGGTGGAGAAAACACATCTGAGGGATCAACATTGGGTTTATGAGGGCAGCCAGAATTAACCTGCTGTGTGCCAAATGCTCACCCTCACAACAGCTTTGTTTGCTCATCCCTCAGGACATGGCACCCCTACAAATATCCAGGGGCTATCAGAATGTTCCTTGTGGAGGAAAATATCTGATCTCCAGTTCCTTTATTGCCTCCTGGACCATAAAACACCTGGAACAGTCTGGATACACAACACTCGTGCTCTTCTGGCCCTTTTTGTTGTTTTAAAGTGCCATTCATGGTCACACAAAGCCAGGTGACAGCTCTGCTCAGGTGCCACCTCTGTCCTGGTGCCACCCATCACCAGGAGCTTGGACAAAGCTCCACTGACATCTTGGAACTCCAACCCTGTGAGGAACGGCTGAGGGAGCTGGGGGTGCTCAGCCTGGAGAAAAGGAGACTCAGGGTGACCTCAGCGCTCTCTGCAGCTCCTGAAAGGTGCCTGTGCCCAGCTGGGCTGGGCTCTTTCTCCAGGAGCTGACAGAACCAGAGGACACAGCCTCAGCTGCCCCAGGGAAATCCAGGCTGGGTGTCAGGAGAAAGTTTTTCATGGCAAGAGTGACAAAGTTCTGG